AAAAATATGATTTATTGTTTGTTTGTTTATTGGATTTATATGCTGCCCTTCTAAAAGAACTCTATACCATTTCAGACAAATGGTTATTCAACATCTTTTTAAAAACTTCCAGTGTTGGAGTATTCACAACTTCTGGAGGCAAGTTGTTTCACTGATTAATTGTTCTGTCAGGAAATTTGTCCTCAGTTCTAGGTTGCTTCTCTCCTTGATTAGTTTCCACCCATTACTCCTTGTCCTACCCTCAGGTGCTTTGGAGAATAGCTTGACTACCACTTCTTTGTGGCAGCCCCTGAGATATTGGAACACTGTTATCATGTCTCCCCTAATGCTTCGAATTCACATTAAATTTCAAAAGTTAAATTCATGCATCAGTAGCAATAAAATATTCCCAAACTATTCACAGCTCACTGCAATCTTTCCAAGGTGAACACTATAGCTGGGGACAGCAGATCAACGTCCTCCCAAAAGGAGTGGACATAGAAATGGGTTTTTTGTCATGTTATTCATTTCAGGGTCTCTTCAATGAACCGGCAAATCAATAGTTAGAAAATTCTGGACTCTACAATTAAATTTTCCTACTTCTGATACCAAAGGTAGGTTTTAAAGCAGCCTTCAATTGGAGATTTCTTTAGAAACAACCCATTCAGAAAGAAGTGGAAACTCATGTGAAGAGTGATCCTTTGTTTCTGGATCTCACTGCTTCAAAAGTTTACAGAAAAAAACGTGGTCACAAAAGGTACCTTCACAGTTAGGGGCAGGAGACGACCATTTGCCAGCATTTGTGCAATTAAGAGTTTCCTCTCCAATCAGAGCATAGCCAGGATTGCATGTGTATTTCACAAATATTCCACTAGGAAATATTCCTGTTTTCTGGTTGTTGTGCATCCCATTTTGAATGTCTGGGGGTGGTGGGCATTGAACCACTAAAGGAAGAAAAGAGGAGATTGGGGGAAAATCAGATTAAGAATGTACTCTGTTATGATACATCAGGGGAAAAGTAATAGACTAGTTGTTTCTTAGCCCAGCTGCAAGCACCATAGTTTCTACTGAGAGTGAAAAAATGGAATACACATATCAGAACAGAACAAGGATTTAATAGTGTTAAAAAAAATGGAAAATCCAGATTCATCCTTACTCTGTTCACAGACAGGTTTGGGGGGATCCCATGTACCATCCACTTGGCAATGAATCTCTCTGGAACCAACCATCTCATATCCCCCAATGCATTCAAAGCTAACTTTCTTGTTATATTTGTAGGTGCTGGAAACTCCAGACACAATCCTTCCATTCTTAATCTGAGGAGATGGACACTCTGTCACTGAAAAATGAAACACACGTCAGAAGCAGACAAGAAGAAAAAACTGGAATCACTCATTAGAAGTGTCAGGCCTGATTAGTTCAGTTTGGGTAGCTGGGGAATAGAGATAACGAGTTTGTCAGTGTGAGGCCCCCAAGGAAATATTTGAAAGAAATTTTTTTAGCAGCTGATGGTCTTTCCTTGAGAAGGAACACAATAACCAAAGATTAGGATGGGAAAATTCACCTCCACAAGACGCACGTCCACTCCATTCTCCGTTTACTCCATCCTTAGATATACAGATAATAGAAGAATTTCCAATAAGAGGGTAGCCTTTGTCACAGCTATAGATTACAAGTGTTGCATAGTAGAAATTATCCAAATACTCTCCAGTGTGCTTGCCATGGGGAATTTTTGGTGGTGGCAAACATGGAATAACTAGAAGGAATGGGAAAATCAAAAGCTGAAAAGAATATTTTGTGTCTTTTTTAGCTGAATATGTACTTTTCAATTAATTCATTACTTCCTTTACTTCTGGACTTATATTGGCATGAAGCAATAAAATGATTTTATATATTACATAGTACTACTTACTCTCACACACGGGAACTTCATCACTCCATTCCATTTTATTGTTCACTACTTTACACTTTCTTGTAGACTTGCCAATCAGCCTATGCCTGTAGGAAGACAACCGCCACCCCGCCCCCCAACATATCATCATTTTATTTTTTGTAGGAGAATGCAGATTTTAGATGGCTAGGATCAAATGGATATTCTAGATTCATTTGTCTACTCAAGCTCAAAACGAGCTCTTTAGAGTTGTTTCTAGAGGTGGCCTTCAGGCCTGAGTAAAATGCAGGGATAAGGATAACTAAGGACCCCCTAAAATATTTTAGTATTCATTCATCCCATGCTTTTTTGTTCATTTGGTGTCAGTTGTTATTTATATGCATTCATGTGTGTAGACAGATATGTTTATGTGTAGAGACAGATAGCAAAATAGCAAAGTGCAGGAGAAATTACTTTCCCTAATTGCTAAGTCTTCTTTTAGCAAAAGTCTTCTATGGTTATAATCAAAGAATGGAAGGAGAAATTGTCTATTGTTTTTTATTCCTTAGAGGAAATATATTAGAAGGAAGAACATGTTCAACTCTGTGATTTATTTATGCAATTTGTGAACCTGACAGTTGTCCTTCCTTTTCATTCAGCGTAGTCCTAATTTTTGCTGATGCTCTTAGCAAATGTAAACTAATTTGCTAATTTTTGCTGATGTTTTAGCAAATGTAAACGTAAATTAAAAGAGAAAGATATAAAAATGCAGCAGCAGGTTGAAGGCTCCCAACCGAGTCAGTACTGCTTCTTCCCCATTTAGGCACAGTCCTTGCCCAATGACTGGTGAGAGAAAGTGAGATTTCCTCCATCCCACCCAAAATGTTCTTACCGGACAATTTCAGGTTACACTGTTTGAAGAAGTAAGAAATAAACAAGAAGAATCACACCACTGGAAATTATGTTGGATTCCCTGTAACTTACCCTTCGTCACACTGGTAATTTGCAGTGGATCCTAAGTCAAAATCGCCTGTTACAAGCAATCTGCCACCCACTGGTTCTCCTGGATATCCACATGTTCTTCCTAGTGGAAAACATAGGAGGACATCTACTTTCCCATGTTACATTGTAGAACAAAATGTATAAAACTGAATTTAGCAGAAAAATATATTCTCTTACATAAATTTACAGAATTTGTTTAATAAGAATTTTTTAAAAACTTACGTTTACAGAGCTCCAGAACTTTTGACCACTGTTGGTTTTCCTTACACCTACTAGAATACATCCCTGGGTTTTTCATGTAACCTGGTCGACATTTGTATTTCACTATTGATCCAACAGGAAAGAAATCTTTTTCTTTATATGCATCCATTAATTCAGCAGAAGCTAACCTAGGTGGGTAGCCACACCTATCTAGTGAGGGGAAAAAAGACAGCAATGAAATATGCCAGATTAGTTTCCATTTCTTCTCCTATTAAGAAGTGGCTCACCATATCTTGGAATATAAGGGAATGTGGTCATACTTGCAGAGTTACAGCTGATTTATTCCAGAAAGTTCTGAGAGCTCTCCCTGAACATCAAATTTTAATTTAAAAAAAATCCTCTTTCCCTTTAACAAATAAAAATATAATGGTAAATGTGAACTTTGTTCCATTCAAGGGAATAATGCACATATAATATCTCATGGAAAGCAATTGTGGGATTCTACTTAACAAAAGGGGCAGTGGTGGGTTCCTACCGGTTCAGCCGAACCGGTAGTGGTTTGGCAGCCTAGGTTGCTGGAAACAGTAGCGACCCAGGCCTGCCATGCCCCCAAACTGGTTCCCCAGTTGCCGCCATTGGTGCCATCATCTTGTTTTTCAGTTTTGTACATACGCATAACAATTTTAATTGAACTGCAATTGTGTGCACAGCACGCATCAAGTGCACATGCATGCAGTACGCGCGCACGAGCAAATGGGCAGTAGTGCCTGCCGGAACCCATCCCTGAAAAGGGGTTGTGGGAGGCTCTTAGATTGATAAAAACAATGTGCAAACATCTTCTTATGAACTAGTTTTTAAAAAGATATTCCTAAAGTGCTCAGTACAGAAAGCATTTGCTTTAAAAAAAAAAAAAGACTGATTCTTTTCAATAGAAGTACAAGTTGCATAAGCTTTCATGCCCATTCTCTGGATTTGGCTTCTATTTCGAGTGAATGTAGTAAACTATTATTTTAATCAAGGGCATAAGATCTGAGCTGTGGAATTCTTGTGCTAGTGAAAGCATGATCATCTGTTTTCATGTCTTGTTCTTCCAGAAATCTGAGTCAGAAAAATTGATCTATTATTATGAAATCTTTCTGCTCATTGATCTGGGACTGCCTAAGACCATCTTTGCTTACTAGTTTATTTATTGTCTCCTTTTCATTCAAAACGCTTCCTGATAGCTCCTTGGTCCACTTCAATTCCCTATTGGCTACAGTACCTTGTGAGAAACTGTGTGTATGTGTACATGACCGCGTACACACGTGTGTGCTAGTGTACGCCCTTGTATTTGAAAAACCTTCAAAAGAACCTTGTCAAGTTCTTTTTAGTCATAAATATGAGAAATCCTTCCAATGCCCGGCCTTGGTTTTCTTGCAGACATTTCATTAAGCAAACTAAGTGATATCACTGATGATGCTAACTAGTTTGGGTAGTGAAACATTTGCAACAAAACAACCAAGCTCAGAGAGAAACAAGGTCCCCTCATTTCAACTCTGAGCTACAAACATTTTCTTTTATCAGAATCATAAATATGCCTCCATATTTGGGAGATTACATACCAGGATAGCAGATTGTGTCTACTCTCCCCATTCTGATAGGAATGGATGAATGAATAAATAATATAACTCCCAATAAGAATTATGTATCTTGAATTATCATGACTTCCTCCTGTAAGTTCTCTCATGTTGTTTCCCCTTTTCTGTATGTTTATTTAGATGATCAGGACTAACCCAGGCAGAAATAAGCAGATTTAAGATGAACATATATGCCGTTTCAAAGCAGAAACACCTCAGAAATTCTCCCAAACCATCCTGGATGGGTCGCAGTTCAACAGGTCTAAAACCTGGATTTCAATTCTTCTGGGGTTCAGTGGAAACAAAATCTGAAAGAAGTCAAGTATGGCAAGGCCTGTGCACTCTTGTCTTCTCCCTCTTTTGCATGGCCCATGTGCTGGACAACCAACCCACCTTTCCAGAACTTTTGTTTCCCTAAGTCCTTTTCACTTGAAAGGTGGTTTTAAGAGATTATTTGAAGACAAACCATAGCAGATGGGAGATGTCATTAGAGGCCTATCAAATAAACAGTTATGGGAATATTTTGTGAAAAAGTTTCAAAGATCTCATACCTTAATGAAATTAATAATAAAAGAGACTGGAGGGATCATATCAGTTTTAAAAATACTGCATTCTAACCCATAATTCTTAATTTATTAAGAAAGTTTGTGATTTTGTTGATGGTGAATATCCAGCCAACACCCGCACACACACAAAAAACCCCACATCTTCTTCACTACCTTCATTACATAATTTTTGAAAATGAGGACATCATTGGCAGCTTAGGGCAAGTAGAGAAATAAATAGCTATGAAAAGCATATTGGATATGCTGCATTTGAAGATACTGGTGAAAGTATTGCACTGACCCACCTATTTCTCTTTCTAGAGCCTTACTTTTCTTACCTCCTGTCAGATGCAACTGTGCTACTGCCACCATTGTCTTTGGCTTTTTGTCACTTTTCACCTGACACAATTCCATTTGAAATTCAAGTTTCTGAGTTTTAATATGGATGAAGCACATTTATCTTGGTCTGTATATTGGCTTCTAGCAACTAGCTGTCCCATACATAGAGCATTTTACACATCTCTTGGTGGGTAGGAAGTAACAAGACAAAATGTTGGAAGAGGGACCTGTTTTGTGCCATCTAGCCTGTTGCTCTCCCTTATCTGTCCTACAAGGTAGACCCGATCAAGAAACAGATGTCATATACGCCTTAAACCTTTTTTTAATTAAAATGTCTACAGTAATCTTAAAAATCTGAATATTTCCTCCCCTCCCTCTTATCTACTGTATGTATAAATTAAGAGAGAGAAGTACCTAATTTTTTTTTTCATAAATGTCCACCTGGTATAAGCTTAAGCTATTTTATTTATTTGATTGATAATGAATCTTTCCACTCTCCACCAAGGCCATTCCCTCTACGCTATAGCTCCCCTTCCAACCAGGCACATTTCCCACTACCTAAGATTCAGAGTCTAACTTGGGCAATTTCTTTATATGTAAGAAGGCATTTATCAGTGTTCAAACAGCTTTGCGTCAGGCAGGACATCTTGCACGAAGTAGAAATTTCTGTGAGAATTTCTTGTTTTGTGGAAAGCCAGGCTACATTATATTTGGTTCCATCATTGTGGAAGAAGCAATTTCATATTACTTCAATTTCTAAGAGATTTCCCTTTAGTTTGTAAGCCAAGATAATTTCAGCAAATTGGAATTTTAATTCTAAACACAGTATTAGTGAATATATAAAGCTGATATTTAAAAACATGCAGGGATTACATATTCTCCAGAAGGTACTTGTCTATTTTTTATTATTTAAAGTTTCAAAGTTCCATGAAAAAAGAAAGCAAAATCTGTTAAGGATCCTATAAAGACTGAGAAATAGTTAAATCTAACTAAAGAAAAAGTAATACCCAGGTTTTGTTGTCTGTGGTTATAGCTACCCAGTGTCTACTCTGTAAAGGGTAGCTTGCTTCAAGGTGTTGCTTCTTGCCTTAAAAGCCCTTCACAGCATGGATCCAGATTATCAGAGGAACTGTCTCACCTTAATGGGATTGGCCCGCCCCACCCACCAGAATGGGAATGCTGTAAACAAGGCCGGCAGAGTCTAGAAGAACCTTTTCTACTGTGGGTCCTACCCTTAGGACATCTTGGCCCCCAAGGTATGCTCTGCACCCACACTTTTGGCCTTACAAAAAGACCTGAAGGCCTGGCTCTGGTCTGTGACCCCGATGGGGCATGTCACCCTGGAGGTGGCTAATTGGAGCAAGTGTTGCATTGCAGCTGGATTGCTAGATGATGACTCAAGCCGTTATTGTATATATTTGGGGACTGTCCAAATTCATCTCACCAGACTGTTGTGAGAATAAAACAGAGAAGAAACTACATTTGCTACTTTATTTTGCTGGAATAAAAAAAAGTATATATTGGCATATTTTTACAATAAGTTAATTAAATAATCTGAATTGTGCAAAAATTGGCAAGAAAACAAGTTCCATTTCTAGTAAATTAAAATATTGGCAAGCTTTGACAAGGGCCAATTCTCAATCATACTGTACTCTTCCATGGAGTTCAGTGGATAATCAGTTATTTCTCAGTTTAAACTAATACTCAGGGCTGAGAAGCTACACTTCAGGTGGTCTCTGAAGTCAAATAAGTATTTTTAAATTTCCCATTTTTAATTTCTAACACTAGTATCAATAGATATAATCAATATACAGTAAACCAAAGCTTTTTGGCTTCCTCAATCATTTTTAATCATGTAAATGGATCCTGAAATCAAACTGTTGAAAAATTGTTATTCTAAGAAAAGACAGGCTTTAAATGCAACACAACAAAATGAATTACTCTTAATTTAAGAACTATTTTCAAGGTGTTTGCCAAGCTAATAAGCGAGGTAAAAGGCAAACAATGCTTGGAGGAAAACTAACGGTTATCTAAATTCAGCCAGGATGAAGACCAGTATTGGAGTTACATGACTGTGTACATTTACAGGTACAAATGTGGAAGGAAATTCACCCTGAATCTAAAAACTGAGCAAGAAAAGGAAATGAAAGCTATTATCAACCTTATTTCAAATTTAGTTTTCTACTATATTTCAATAACAAAAAAATACTTCATATGTTATTATTGACACAATATAGCAAGGAGTTCAAAAACTGCCAAGAAAATGATAATGATAGCTCTTAATTTCATTAAATCTATGAATATACCAACAAAACTCAGAATTGTACTGCATATATTTAAAATCTGCAGTATAATACAGTAGAAACCTCCACTTGACTTAGAGCCATTAAATCTGAGCTGGAAATATCAAGACTAATGAAAAGTAATAAGGAGATAATATGCCATGCAATGATTTTTTTTTAAAAATTGCCAGCTAGTTCCGATAAGCATAACTCCATTGAATACAAGTGAGGGAAGAAAGTTCAGTCATAACTGAGAAAATACTGTATTTACGGTAAATAATGGCCTTCAACCACTAAATATCAGGCACTGAACACAGTCAGATTTAATTCCTTGGCCTTTGACTTCTCCAGAGCTTCCAACAAGCTCTTTTCTCCCAGGTGAGGATCAAAATTCCGAAGAAAGGAACTGGAACAGAATACATAGCTAATTTTTAAACTATTTGTGGAGAGAGTGGGTTGACAGAGAGAGATTAATGTTACAGAAGCTCAACCAACATTCATCTTCTCACCTTGGTTCACTAAAGGAGCAGCCAGGAAGGTAGCAGCAAACAGAAGGCTGAGTGTGCAGGCAGAAATCATTGCTCTTTTCAGTGATGACTATGAAGCTGAGAACTCATGCCCTTATGTATATAAATACAAAAGAGGAAGCAGCAATAGTAGTAAGCAAATAAAACAGGGGCTTTTTTACCAAAAGCCCCCGAGGAAGCAGATTTTGACAATAGAACTTGCTGTTTCTTTGTAAGTGGGAAAATCTCATCTTGCACATCCTGCAGATTTACCAGTGAAATCCATTTCGGAAGCACCAGTTCTGAGCACCCCATAAATACAACATGTCACACCAATAGTTCTGTATCCATTTAGTCTGAGGGGAAATAAAACGCTGGATTATCAAAGTTGTTTTTGCTGTGTTTGGCTAGGAAAAGTTAAGATAGTATTTTAGAAACTAATGAATTTTATCAGCTAGCTTAAGGAGAAATTAACATCTGAAGGTTGGAATACAAAGCACATATAGTAATTTATTGTCAGTAAGAATTGTTAATAACAGACATCAAACTGCATTTCCCAATTAGATTAGATGAAGAGAAAGGACTTTTTGGTAAATTCTACATTTAATAACCACCATAAAATCTCTTGGGGAAACTTGTTTTGCATGATCTCAAAAAAACCCAGCCCATTTGAAGAAATGCAATCTTTAGAACTTTTTGTCTATTGAAATACAAGCATCAAAATAAAAAATAATTTTCTCCTACCATTCAAAATATGCAATTCTAATACATTTATATTCAAATCAAGGGCACTTATCAGTAAAAACCTATTTTGTTGAAGTAAGACCTCAATTCTACTCACAAAGCTTTATTTTTATTCTACTATGCATGAATGTATAACTGGTAAATAGTTTCTAGTAGTCAGCATTAAGAATTACCATACCATCAACTCCCCAAATAACTATATAGAACTGTGATAAGTGTTCAGTGCAATTCAATCTTTAATATTATCATTGCCAGACATTTCTTTATATACAAACATTGCATTTAATTTATTCATATAAGGAATGCAATAAAATTTACAAATACAACTTTTGCAAAGGCAAAATACTTTCTTGAATACTGTAAGTATCCATGCTAGCCAGACTGATGCCAAAATGACACAATGTATGTTGCAATATCACATAGAACATCACAACACATATTTTGTCATTCCCCCCCCCCTAAACACCTAGGCTGAACATTTCAGGATTGGTTCCATTCAGTCTAAATATACCTTCTTATCACAGTGATGTTAAAATAGAAAACAGGACACAATTTATATTAGGCAAAGCTTACTATGCCAGCATAAATTTAAAACCGAGAAAGCAAGCTTAACTTTTCTTTGGCTGTCACATGAACTTAGAAGCCTGATTTAAGAGCCAGGCTGTTAAAAAGAAGCATACAGAACTTGTTGACTCTTCCATTCTAATATAGTCATATCTTCATAATAGCATAATGCATTATCCCTGAAGTAGAAACATGATAGGTCCCTCAAATGTATCTGAGTGATAAGAATCAGACACACTAAGAGATATTCTGAAAGGATTTCAGTGCAAACTATTAGAATGTAGAAGCAGTGTATGTAGTCTTGTAGATCGTATGTTGATTGTTTCATATATTAACTGCCTCATCGAATGGTCGAACTATAAAACTATGAACTTTGAACTCAGATAGATCTTCAGTGAGTTCCTATTTTTAGTTCTCAAGCGAAAGTGTTGAAAGGTTACTGAAGTTTTATTGCAGAAGTTCAATGGACTCAGATCAGTCTTTTGATTTTTCTTCCAAAGCCACATCTTTCTTTGAAACTACACGATAATCATCAGTAGAGGCAGGATGAGGGTTAGCTTTCCTGTCAAAAAAAAAAAACACACGAAAAATTAATCCATATTAACACATGCTGTTTAAAGAAGTTTTTAAAAATTATTTTCTTCAGTCCTGTTAATAAGCAAAAAACAACACACACACACACATTCATTCTGTTAGAAAAAAGAAAAGGTATCTTAGTTAGGAAAACCCACCTCAGGAAACTAAAGCGTTTTACATTAATAGTTGCAGAATATTTGACATAAAAATGAATTATTCTATAAGCACAAGAGATCTAGTGTACAAAAAATAATATGATAAATGTTTTTAGATAATTGCTGTGGAATCACAAATCAGAACCTTTTTTGTATCCATGGGGAAGCTGTGTGGTGTCAATGCTGAAATCTCACAAGTCAACGTCTGCAGTCAAAACGAAGCTTTATCTACCCTGTTTTCCCCCAAAATAAGACCTCCCCGGATAATAAGCACAATTGGGCTTTTGAGTGCATGCGCTAAAATAAGCCCTCCCCTGAAAATAACCCTCCCCAAAAATACTGCAACACAGCAGCAGCCATGAGGTAGCCACGCTTGTCACCTCCTGCACCTCAAAAATAATAAGACCTTACCGAAAATAAGGCAAAGCACTTATTTCTGTCTTATTTTCAGGGAAACATGGTACATTTAGCACCGGTTATCTCAGTATGTATGTATGTATGTATGTATGTATGTATGTATGTATGTATGTATATATATGTGTATGTGTATGTGTATGTGTATGTATATAGATAGATAGATAGATAGATAGATAGATAGATAGATAGATAGATAGATAGATAGATAGATAGATAGATAAGATAGGGTATGTATGTATGTATGTACGTACGTACGTACGTACTGAGATATATACTGAGATATATACTGAGATATATATATAAACTGCATCACCTGTAAACTAGGAGGGAGCAATAAGAGAGAATCCCATTAGTGATTAAATTTATGCTGGAGTTGATTGACATGCTTAGTGCATCACTAATGCCAAGCTTGACATGAGAGCATGGCTTCTGGAAATCTTTCCAATCTCTTAATAGCAGTTCTGCCCTAAGTCATGTGACCAGGAAAAAGCAGGCTTAAGAATGGAGCAAACCAAAATCTTCTGAGCTATTGGCCAACTGCCTTTCCAATTGGGTCCAGCACATTTTCAATCTCAATTTTTCATTATATTTGGACTGCTAGATTAAAAAGAAAATGAATATTACTATAAAGATCCAGCAGGCAACAAAATCCATATTCTATGCTCAGAATTATGAAAACGGACCAGTAAAATGTTTAAATGTATATGCAATTCCAAGAACTATAGTTGGAACCATGACACATTTTTTAGAAAACATATTTCTTATCTTTACTTTTGCCTGCATCCCAATGCAGGCAAACAGTACTCTTAATGGTAATGTGAAATACTTATTTAACAATGAGGACATTGTATGATAATGCATATAATCCATAAACTTATTAGCTACACGATATATTTGCATTTTTCAAGTATGTACCCTGGTATGTGTTAGTAATTTATCTTCAAAAGATTATCTTTAAAGAGATTTCAGTAAAATAACTTTAATGCTAGCCTAGTACAGATACAGAATCTTGGAAATTACAAGAAAAATCTCTGATCCTAATTGACAAAGAGCTTATTAAGGCTGTTTCGTAAATAATTTCAAAGATTTCTTTCCACCTGTGCTAAGATACTGCTTTTTGAGATAAGATATGGGCCATTCCGCTTCCTCCTCTAAAGAAGGAATAAAGAACAAACAATGCCATTAGCAACTGAAGATAGTTGTGATAGTCTTTGGGTTTTATGCAGATGTTGCAGCAGAACATACATGTTGAATGTAAAATGCTGGTGTGACTCCCTCAACGAGCCATTGTTAAACCCCAGCAATCAGGTGGTTACAGCTCCAAAGGATCCTGGAAAAAAACAGATTATCTGAACCCTTTTCAATCAGGTTTTAGACCTGAATATGGAACAAAATTGGTTACACTCATGGATGACCTCTAGTGAAAGAGGGATGGAAGTGCTACATCCATCCTTATTCTTCTTGATCTCTGGGCAGTTTTTAATACCATTGACCATGGAATTGTTTTGGGCTGACTTAGGGAGTTGGGGATGGGTTACACAGTTCTGGGTTGGTTCACTGCCTTCCTCCAAGGCTGCTCTAAATCAATGTTGATAGGGAGCAGGAAGTCCACTTCTTGTCCCTGCTAGTTATTCTCTCTACTACTTTTTAACATCTATATCAGGGGTGTCAAACTCACAGCCCATGGGCCGGATACGTCATATGCTGGCCACGCTCACCCCCATTTTAGTGAAGGGGACAAATGTCACAATACATCACGTGATGTGATGACGCGTGTTTGACGCTGCTGATCTAGATGAAAGCCCTGGGTGACATCATCTGTCACCATGGGATAAGGTATCATCAGTATGCTGCTGATATCCAGTGGTACATCTCCATCACGGATTAAGTGAGTGATGCTATGGATGTTCTTTCATGGAACCTGGAGGCTGTGGGGGCCTGGATGAGACACAACAAACTTCGGCTGAATCCTAGTAAAATGGAGTGGCTATGGCTAGGGAGCCCTTTTGCATCCAGGAGTGTTCTGACCCCCCTCCTTGCTTGTTCACAAACGACAGTCAGACCCAACTTCAAAGGAAATGTCTATCAGTCCTGGCTCAAGCTGGCTGCGAGTCCAAAAATAAATGTAGATAAAGTCTCTGGCAAAAAGTTAGACAGCAAAAGCAAAAACAAAAAGCTCTTACAGCAAACCAGGTTTACAGAAAGCAAATCACTTATCCAAGTGCCTCTTTGAATCAGGTTTACAGAAAGCAAAGCACTTATCCAAGTGCCTCTTTGAATCACGTTTACAGAAAGCAA